AGGCGTGTGTTTCCTGCTAACATGGCAACTCTGATCTGACACCCGTGTTGCTGTAAGATGAAGTCAGCGCATTCCACACACCCTGCAACTTCTCATCGACGTTTTGGACAATGGTTACCCGCGTTGGGCGACGGACGCCGCCAAAGCACTTCTTTCTACTGTGTTGAGGCAACGCCCTTCCTCTCGGGGTGGATTGGGTGGGGAGGGGGCTCAGTGACAGGGGTAGCGACGGCCGTGGAGTCTCTGCGTGCCTCGGCAGGCCTCGGTGGCGATACTCCCCGCGATAAAGAACTGCCGAGCAGGGTGTATCGCCGCGCCGCGCCGCGCTGCGTGTCCAGTGTCCGCGACAGGGGCAGAGCAGGCAGTCCCGGACAACGCCCGCGCACAGTGTGGCCCGGTGGAGGCGGCCAAAACTCAAGACGCGTTTTGAGCTCCAGAGTCGCTAAATGGGACTCGAACCGAACGTGTGACCCCACCAATGGATTGCTCTCCGAACGAGGAATCCATTGGTTGGGTCACACGTTCGGTTCGAGTCCCATTTAGCGACGCTGGAGCTCAAAACGCGTCTAGAGTTTTGGCCGCCTCCACTGTCTTCTGGGCCACTGTCGCCATGGCCCTCGGCCCCTTGACGCCGTGCGCGAGTTGCTTCGCTCTCTCACTCCCTCTCCCGTTCGGCCGCCAGGAGCGAGAGAGAGAGGCAGAGGCCAGCCTAAACGGGCCCCCGGGGTATTGACCACGTGCTCGATGGTCCCCATTTGCACATTCGAAGCAACTGTTTGATCAGGCCAGCCGGGCGGGTGGGCGGACGGACGGACAGGCAGACAGACAGACGAAAATACATAGAGCCAGGATTCGTCCTTGGTATCACTGCACGGTGGACGCCACAGCGATAGGCCCGAGGGCGCGCGTGGCCCACCGACACTGGCGTCACAGGCGCTTCCGTTCCAAAAGCCGCCACTTCATGGCCCTCGCGAACAAGCTCAAACTTTCACCAAAAATGAGGCCTGTCAACCCTCCAGTGACGCTCCATTCCAGTGTTGCGAAAATTCTCACCACGATGCACCAGCGCGGAAAGGGTTGCCAACCGTCCAGCAGGCAGGCTGAGGTTGGCAGCCCTTTGGCCACGCTCCACAGTGGGCCAGAAGACCGGTGGAGGCGGCCAAAACTCTAGACGTATTTGGAGCTCCAGAGTCGCTAAATGGGACTCGAACCGAACGTGTGACCCCACCAATGGATTCCTCGTTCGGAGAGCAATCCATTGATGGGGTCACACGTTCGGTCCGAGTCCCATTTAGCGACTCTGGAGCTCAAAACGCGTCTAGAGTTTTGGCCGCCTCCACCGGCCTTCTGGCCCACTGTGCGCTCCATGGTCGCTGGTCACGACTCCGCTCCTTACCCCGGACGCCGCACACGGGGAAGAAGGCGGCCTGCAGGTCCCGGACGGTGGCGTCGGCCATGCGTCGGCCATCCCCCGAGCGCCGCTACTGCGCGCCACGCCGAGCCCCGCGGCCCGCAGCCCCGCAGCCCCACGCGGCGACGCGCTGCCCCCGATGGGGCGTTGCCACGCGTTGCCACGCGGGAGACGAGCCGGGGGAGGCCCTGAGTCCTCAGCACGCCGCCGACGCCAAGCCACTGCAGCCAACCCCCGCGCCTGTCCCGGGGTTGACGAGCCACTGCTTGCCGGGCGTGCGGCTGGGCCTGGGGACGCCGACGGCGGACTTGGCGGCGGCAGGGTCGTCCCGGCAGCGCCGTCATGGTCGGCACCGTCGCGAATTCTCGAACTCGCACCAGAAATGGGCCGGGCGGTCGCTTCGCGCTTCGCTCCAATGTTTGCCGGGGATGGTTTGGCGGGGCGGTGCGGCGCGGCTGCCGCCAGGCACTGACAACACAACACCCACCGACGCGCCCTCGCGCTGGGCTGCGGGGGCGGGGCGCGAAGAGGGGGGGGGATCTGGAGGGGGCAGGTAACACTCCTTGACGGGCCCTCCTGAGACCGCGGCGCCAGAGCCGGCAGAGCGTGCAAGCAGGGCGAGGCAGGGCGAGAGGGCAGGGCCGAACCCGAATGTGTGCCTGACGAGATTTCGTGGAAGTGCCCCGAGGTGCCCCCCGCCCGCTCCGGCTTGCATGGCGGCCTGGCGGGGTTCGATGCGAAAGCCTCGGGGAGGTGAGATCCGGAGAGGGGGGCCTCTGGACTGCGTGGATCGTGGCATTCACCGCAAGCTTTGCGCTAGCGCAAGTTGGCATCCCTGTCAGCAGGCTGATTCCGAGAGGCGTTTTCGTCGCTCTGCCTCGCTCGCACCCACGGGGCGTTCCGTGTGGGTGCGAGAGAGTCAGAGCGACGAAAACGACTCTCGGAATCGGTCTGACGCCGCCACGGTACCGGAGGGGGAAGCGCGGGGGTTGTGGTTGGGGGTCGCTCGCACAACAACGTGGCCGTCCTTAGGGGCGCGCAGTGGATTTGCCAGAAGACCGGCGGAGGCGGCCAAAACTCTAGACGCGTGCAGAGCTCCAGAGTCGCTAAACGGGACTCGAACCGAACGTGTGACCCCACCAATGGATTCCTCGTCCGGAGAACCGGTCCGTGTTTTCCGGACGGCCCCGCGCAGCGCCGCGTAGCCAGTCAGGCGGGGCGAGGGCGAAAGGGCTAACAAGGTGGTCGCTTCCTCCCCCTGCCAGCTGATTCCGAGATGGGGGTCTCTCTCTCTCTCTCGCACTCATGGAGCGTCCCGTGTGGGTGCGAGAGAGACAACCCGACGAGAGCCCCGTCCGGAGTCAGTCCACTGTGGTGGCGTGAAGGGAGCAGTGGCAGGGCATAGCGCTTAGGGCTGGGGGTGCATGCCATGGGCCTCGAGGGAATTCAAAACAGCCTGGTGCGTTACTGCGTTCCGAAAGTTTCAAAGTTCCCAGCCGACGATGGAACGACGGGGCGGGGCGGGGCGGGGCGGACCCGCCCCCTGGTAAAAGCAGCCCTCTCTTTACCGAAAATAGCTCTCCCTTCGGGGCTGCGCCTCCGCGCTCCACATGGAAGAGGGCAAACACTCCGACGATGCACTTGCGTCAAAAGGGTTGTGTGGCAGCGTTGGTTCGGAGCACCGCTCTGCGAACGAGCAATCCATTGTAGGGCCACACGTTCGGTTCGAGTCCCACTTAGCGACTCTGGAGCTCAAAACGCGTCAGGGATTTAGTCCGCCTCCACCGGTCTTCTGGCAAATCCACTGTGCTCCGGTTGCCGCGACAGAGAAGGACCGCGTCGCGCAGGCTCTGTCTCTCTCGCACTCACGTCCCGTCGGGGTGCCGAGGGGTGGCTCGTAGGGGTGCGAGAGAGACGGGCAATGAGCCTGCTGCGTGCGGCCTGGGCGGCCTGCGCGGCCCGCCCGCCTGCAAACTACTTGATATCGAGATATCGACTCGAACGACTCGTGCTGCTTCGAGGTCGAGGCCCTTCTAGTTCCACTTGTTCCACTGGTCTCCCACCTCTCTCTCTCTCTCTCTCTCTCTCTCTCTCTCTCCCCATCATGGCCGAATTATGCTTCAACGAGGGGCTTCATTGAAACTTGACGGTGGTTAGCGACACGCGAACGGCGCAAGGCGCAAGCTGTAGGGAGTGGGATGAGATGAAGGCTGTTCGGCTACGGAGCGCCAAAGCGAGTGAAAGTGAGAGAGAGAGAGAGAGAGAGAGAGAGAGAGAGAGAGAGAGAGAGAGAGGGAGAGAGAGAGTGCACGTGCTCAAGGCTGCGGCTGCGGGCGGGCGCAAGGCACAGGGTGAACTCAGCAAGAGCAGCAGCCAGAGCACGTGCCGGCTGACTCCGCTGATAGTTTTCCCAAGACAAAAAGAAAAGAAACCTGCATGTAAAAGTGCACGCCCCCGAGGAGGTCGCTCCTTCGCAGGCGCTGTTGGCGCGCAGAACTTACCGACAGACGATCGTCGGGAGTCGCCCCCCGCCTGCAGGGCTTGCAGTGGCGAGGCACTTGGTGCCGCCCCCGCCGCCCCCGCCGCCCCCAGTGCCTTGGACGGGCCGACTTGGAGGAAGCTGTCGATCACGTCGCGCGCCAGGCACGCGTCCCGGTCGCCGTCGGGCATGGGCCGCGTCCGTCTCTCTCGCACCTACTCGGGAGCCTCGGGACGCGCCATGAGTGCGAGAGAGAGAGAGAGAGAGAGAGAGAGAGAGAGAGAGAGAGAGAGAGAGAGAGAGAGAGAGAGAAGGGGCCGCCGGCTGCGGACTCGCCTCGCGACAGTCGCGGCTTGCGGCTCGCGGACAGAGTCGAGGAGCACCCTCAGGACTGGCTGGTTTGGGGGGCCTGAAGGCAGCCCTGAAGGGCCCGGCCCGAACTGACAGAGCATTCCGAATATGAACAAGCAGGACGGGCCGAGAGAGGGGGAGGGGAGGGGGGCTTCCCCGCGGCGCGAGAAAGAGGAGCAGCAACCGGGGGAGGCATCGGCCAATAACCGCGCAGCACCGCGCAGCACGCTAGTGCACCGCAAAACGCTCCTTAAATCTCGCCACAGCCGAAGGGACGCAGACGTCGCACGATGAAGCACCTTCGCACAGTGGGCCAGAAGACCGGTGGAGGCGGCCGAAATTCTAGACGCGTTTTGAGCTCCAGAGTCGCTAAATGGGGCTGGAACCGAACGTGTGACCCCACCAATATTGGATCAGCGGTTGAAGGCGGGTATAGCCGCAGGTCTTCCCTTGTTCAATGTTCCCGCCTTCCGGATTCGTTTTCATTTCGGTCGGATGTCAGATGCCCTCAACACGATCAGGAAACGTCGTCGGCTCGTGCTTTCCTGTGTTCCTGTCCTTTTGTGGCAGCCACAGCAAAACTGGAGCGGATCCACTTCACTTCCTGTTTCCGGCCGGGGTCTGCCAGGGGTCTGGGGTCGTCGCCTTCCCTGGCCGGCACGCGGCACCCCTCCGCGCAACCCCGCTCGTTCTTCGAACTTGCCGCCATTTGTGAATTTCTCATACTCCGGTTCCAGCCGACGGTCGGCGGACAGGCGGACCGAAGACAGGCGGACAGCAGACGACAGACGACGTTTTGTGATGTTTGTTTGGATGGGAGAAGACTGTCAGTAGCAAAACTTCGACGCCATGAGACAGTTTGTGATGCTTTTGCTTTTGTTGGTCGCTTATGGCGTCAACGTGTCGGATGGAGTATCGAGGCCAAAGTTCCCGGACTGCAGCGAGACCAAATTCCCCAGTCCAGAGAATGTGGTAGGTGGTGGGTTTTAGGCCTATCTCGAATGGGTTGTTGGCAAACAAAGTATTGAAATACTTCTCTGCTGTGAACAAGAAGCCGTTGTTCGGTCTGTGATTTGTTCCGTATGAATACTGAACATAAACTGTTTTCTGTCGTCAATAAGTGCGTAGTCTGTCTCATGAGTTCATATTTCACTCGCAGAAATCACAGAGAACGTCTTACCTCGTGACAATACTTATCTCCATTTTTCACCTCATTGTAATTTTCCTGCTTTAGCTCTTTTGTTTTCTCATTACAGCTCCCTGGAGGATCCTGCATCATTCAACGATGGGGTTGGGACAAACAAAATGATGGCACTTTTCGGAACATAGGCAAGAATGAATGAATGAGTTTAAGGTTTCTTCTGAAAACAAGTTAAAATAAACAGCATGTTTTTAATATTTTATTACAGATTGTGAAAATCTTCGGCTTAATGAAACTTTGGATGGGAAGGTCGTTCCTAAGAATTCACAAAATTTGGTTGAAGTAAAACTTGGGGTATTTCAATACCTTCACAACCATAGATCATACCCAAATCCAACTATATCATTTTCAAAAATAAATTGTACAGGTAACAGCTTATTAATTTCTGTTCTCTCTAGGTGATTTTTTTCTTCATCTCGCCTTAAATAATTCTTACCTTACAGACGTAATGGTAAAGCTGAGCGTTGTGGACAGCAACATTACATCCTGTATCAAGTTCAACTTTTCCACTTCAGATCCTAAACTGATGGAAAAAGCAGATTTTCTGTACGACTGTCGCTGGCTTCCGCACCAATACGAAAATAATGTAATTGAAGCCCCCATGACCATTGAATATCAGGCCAGCAATAAAATAAGTGCAGAATACAAGAAATATTATTTCAGACTACCACAAAATGGAACAGCTGGTCAGTTTATTAACCCATTTATTATTGTTACTTTTTGTGCTTTGTTAACAATGTATTTCAGAGGGCGTTTATTTTGTCATACAGATCGAGAAGAAACCGGGTTTCGTGACTTTCAACTTCTGGTTTACCGCGAACAGCAAACTGATTCTCCCTGTGTCAGTTTTTATTGGTCGAGACCTCCAGAAAAATTCAATGTATCAAAATACAAGGTCAATTTACACAACAAGAATGACAATGTTACAAAGCCAGACTCATTCTTTGTTGATGATCCAAAGACAAGCATCTGCTCACTGCCAGATGTTAATACCAGTTATTTCATATCCGTTGAGCCTTGTATTTGTTCAGAGGGCAATTGCACCTGTGGTGCTGCTTCTGTCTCAGAGACATTCTGCACCAGTAAGTACTTGCAAAATAGTGCTCATCATTAAACAAATAATTATAAAGTTATAATAATGACCCCTGTCTAAAACCAATTTCCAGATGTCTCAAATATTCACTTCACTATTGTTCTCTTAGTTGCTCTTATTATATTAATCATCATTCTGCTTCTGCTTTGGTGCTGGTATTTGATCAAGCTGTATGTCAGTAAGTAAAACATCATTGAAGTCCCTGTATGTATCATTACTTCTTACATATGTATTTCCTTTGCTGATATACTTCTTGTTGTGTGTAGGTACAAGAACAACGAGGTTCCAAAACTGTATCCTTGTGTTTGAACCATCATGTAAAAGCCACGTAACCGTAGTGACAAAGCTTGTGGAATTTCTGCGCAGTTTGCGTGTGCCAGTGCTATATGGTGAAACAGATATCGGAGATCAGGTAAATTAGACTTTCTTTTACCAAATATTAAATCATATTTTTCTTTGACTGAAACAAATGTTTAAAGAAAATGTAAGTAAACTTATTATATAATTTTCAGAACTCTACAGATTGGTACAGTGAAAACTTGAGCAATGCTGACTTAGTGTTGATTGTCTCAAATCCCAAACCAAAGAACGAAATTGATTTTATGACAGCTTCTACGTCCTACCCTGTGTACACAAGAGGCTGTGTAAAAAGTTTTTTGAGAGATATAATTCACACTCAAAAAAAGTAATGTTGTTTCTGAGCCAAATGTTATGCTGCTCCCTGAGCTGTGTTTGTCTCAAATTTCTTTATTGTATGTTTCTGTGTTTCAGATTCATCAGGATACTATTGCCATACTGCGATGTACATGAGTTCTATGATTTTACTCGAACAAAGGAGTTTTACCATCTAGAAAAAGAACCTCACAGACTCCTCAAAGAAATTCTGGGACCCTACATATGGATTCCGCGCATTCTTTCTCGGGTGTTGTTTGCTCCCTACTTACAAACAGAGGAGTGGAAAAATTTAAAACTAGCAATTAAAGAAGCAAAGAAATTCATCAATGCGTCAGAGGCAACTGCACCACTGAAGGTATGTATCAAAGGATGTCAATTATAAGATAAAACTATGTTTTATTTTATTAAGAAGTTTACTATTTTATTTTATTTCTTCACTAGAATGAATATGAGGTGGAATATGATCAGTCCTGTAATACATTTTCCTCAACAATATCTGATGACGAAGGGGCTCCTGACGTGGAGCTCAGAAACCAGAAGTTACAGAAGTACATAGATGAGGAATCCTCTGGTAGTGAAAGTGAATTTCGTAAGTACATTCATTTTAAAAAAAAGTCTAGAAAAATAAAAAAATCTAACTCCAGGTATCTCACTTCTTTCCTTTGTTTTTTGCTTTTCACAGAACTTCACAAGGACTTTGAGGAAGAGTCTCACAAATCACTTGATGGTATGTTGGATGCACAGCTGTTCTACGATCATGAGATTAGCACGTCCCTCACAAATCCCTAATCTGGGAGGCAATACCTTTCACTTCACAGTGTCAGTAACTTTTAGGTGTCACAATTTTTTAATAATAATGACTCTAAAGCAAAATCTTATAATTTTACTAGATTAAACTAGACTAAGATAATCTAGCACTTTGTGTGGCATTGTTGTTTGTTGTGACTTTTTGTATGTACCTGTTCAACTTTGTGATAATAATTATAAGTTTAAAAAAATCAATTGACTTCATTCAAGTGCACCTTCCCAGACCCCAGACGTCCGACTTGGTTCTTTGCTCCAACTTGCCAGCCATGGCAAATGAAAGGTGTGTTCTGGCCGAGGTGCCAACCGCAGAGTGAGGTCGCCGTTGGCGGGTATCGAAATAGCCTCAGGACAAGGTGGTGATGACTCTGCCGCGCGGCTGCTCCACGGGCGGCTCGCCTTGGAGGCGCACTGCGCCCTGCAGCATGGCGAGGATGTCGGCGGGGACGGCGTCCTGGCGGTGGTGAACCACCATGAGGACGTCGCCGGCGCGCACCTCGGCGCCGACGTGCAGCGCGTCGTCCAGGACGACGCCGACGCTGAGGTCCAGGACGTCGTCCGCGCGGGCGCGGCCCGCCCCCAGCCGCTGGCAGGCCCTGGCCACGGGGAGTCCCTCGATGTCCGCGACGAAGCCGGCCTCGGCGGCGCGCACGGGCGTGGTGTGTGGCGCGCGCGGCAGCACGGCCCACAGGTCGGCGTCGTCGGCCCCGCACACGCGGCGGGCGTCGGCCTCGCTCACGCCCTGCCGGACCAGCATGCGGCGGAACGCCTCCAGCGCCGAGCCGTCCCGCAGCGACGCCCGCACGCGCTCGCGGCACTCGGCCGCCGTGGCCGCCGCGCCGCGCATCTCCAGCAGCTCGCCGCCCAGCGCGCACACCAGGTCCTCGAGGTCCTGCGGGCCCTGGCCGCGCAGGCAGCGGATGGACTCCGCCACCTCCAGGGCGTTGCCGACGGCGCGCCCGATCGGCACGTCCATGCGCGTGAGCACGGCGCGCGTCGGCACGCCCAGCAGCTTGGCCACGGCGATCTGCAAGCAGGCAACGCGTTGCGGCAACGTGCAGAACCAGACCCAGGCACGACCACCGCACGCCCACAACGGGACGGACACTCACGATGGACCTGGCCAGGTCGGAGGCGCTCTCCACCGTCTTGAAGAGCGCGGCGCGCCCCACCTTGATGTCCATGACCAGGGCGCGCGTCCCCTCCGCCACCTTCTTGGACACGATCGACGCTGCGGACGACACGAGGCGGCGTTACCTTCAGGGAATGCCAGGCACGCCACGCTCAGTGGGCCAGAAGACCGGTGGAGGCGGCCAGAACTCTAGACGCGTTTTGAGCTCCAGAGTCGCTAAATGGGACTCGCACCGAACGTGTGACCCCACCAATGGATTGCTCGTTCGGAGAGCAATCCATTGGTGGGGTCACACGTTCGGTTCGCGTCCTGTTTAGCGGCTCTGGAGCACAAAACGCGTCTGGAGTTTCGGCCGCCTCCACCGGTCTTCTGGCCCACAGCCCGCCCCTTACACGTTATGAGCGGGATGTTATCCACCGTCCCGGTGACGTCGCGCCTCTTGTAGAGCTCCCCGTCGGCGGGGGCCAGCTTGGCGGTGGGGCCCACGATGAAGCAGCCAGGGTCCTCCAGGGCGCGGCGCATGGCCTCCACGGGCTGCTGCACGGTGAAGCCTAGAACAAACGTCACAGTGACACCAATACTTCTAAAGATAAAAATTCAAGAAATTAGGCGTTGTTGTACTGTACCTCTGATGCTCTCCAACTTGTCCAGGGTCCCTCCGGTGAAGTCCAGCCCCCTGCCCGACATCATCGGCACCTTGAAACCGCAGGCGGCGAGGGCGGGGGCCAGCGGCAGCGACACCTTGTCGCCCACCCCGCCCGTCGAGTGCTTGTCCACGAGGAGCTCCGTCCACTCGGGCGAGGCGGCGCACCAGTCCATCTTGTCACCTGCACACAGTGCACCGCCACTTTGCGTTCAACGTTCGGGGCCTTTAGGGACTTCCCTCGCGTACCGTGCACCGAAATCAAGTTCAACGCGACTTTATTGAACAAAAAAATAAAATTAAGTAAACATTGCGGCATACGAAAATCCACAAAAGTTCTATAAAAAGTTTCAAAAAATAAATGTAAAAGAAAGATATTTGTTTGAATAGATTCGACACCTAACCGGAAATTGCATCTCCTTATCAGTCTGTGGCTGGTGGAACGCCCCAGACAGGTGTCGGCCGCCAGTTAACGGTGCACCCCGACCCAAACCGTTACAAGAGCGCCCCCAGAACCCCAAACCCCGACAGATAAGGCAGCGTGTGTAAACAAACAGTCCAGGGAGCAATCTCGATCACGCACGAGTAGAGTAGTGCACCGTCGCCCGGTGGGACACCGACCCCTGACCCCTCCCCCTCCCCCTCCCCTCCCCTCCCCCTCCCCCTCCCCTCCCCCTCCCCTCCCCTCCCCTGACCCCTCCCCCCCCTTCCGACAATTCCCTCAATGCATCTGCCTCCAACTTCATCCTTTCGTCGTCGCGCTCCGTCCAGCACTCTGTCTCTCGCGCACTCCCGGGGCGGTCCGTAGTGGTGCGAGAGAGATACAGCGACGAAGCCTGCAGGGTCTCGGCCGAAGATAAACGACGAATTGAAGGCCAGTGTGGGCGAAGGCCGCACTGGTCGGACATGCTTTATCAGCGCGGCTTGCCGTCGAGTGTTTTCCGACTCGAGAGGCTTACCTCAGAGTCCTAGAGGGACTCTATGCGACTTACCTGTGTCCACCATGTAGCGCGTGAGGCTGGCCGTCTCCTCGGCGTCCAGGCCCTTCAGGAACATGGCCATGAGCATGGCCCCTGCGGACAGAAGAAGCAGGGAATTCCACAGGTTTCGGCGGCAAAGGCGAAGTGGGTTAGTCGCGGCGTAACTGGCGTACCACAGTGGGCCAGAAGACCGGTGAAGGCGGTCAAAATTCTAAACGCGTTTTGAGCTCCAGAGTCGCTAAATGGAACTCGAACCGATCGTGTGACCCCACCAATGGATTCCTCGTTCGGAGGGCAACCCATTGGTGGGGTCACACGTTCGGTTCGAGTCCCATTTAGCGACTCTGGAGCTCAAAACGCGTCTAGAGTTTTGGCCGCCTCCGCTGGTCTTCTGACCCACTGTGCGTACCGATCTGCGCGTCCTCGGCCTGCTTGTTGACCACCTTCTCGACGACGGCCTTCATGTCGGCGTCGGTGAGCTTCTCGCCGTCGCGCTTCTTCTTGATGAGGTCCTGGAACGGCACCGCGGCCGCGGGGCCGCCGTCGCCCACCCTGGAGACCGGCATCCTCACTGTCCCGGCTTCTCTGCGGCACACCTGAAGGCCGAAAACGGAAACGACTACTGTACTAACAGTCCGGGGATAGTATTCCCCACGGTGTCTCCTGTATTCTCGATCAGATAACCTCCCGCGCCGGGGAGTCGCGCGCGCGGGAACACTCACTACATGCACGACGTAAGGGTCATGGTCACTACACGCACGACGCAAGGGCCATGGTATGTCCGTGCTCCAATGAAAAATGTAAACAAATAGAAATTCAGGCCGAAGGCTCACACTCACCGGACGGCCAGTGTAGGTGCGAGAGAGACAGAGCGACGAAGCGGCGACTCTTGGGCGGGAATCCGCTCGGCTGGGGGCTGGGCCTGGCTGGGCCTTCCCTGTCGACTGATTCCGCTCTGCAGCGTCGTTCGCTCTGTCTTTCTCGCTCTCTAGGGTTGTCCCGTAGAGGTGCGATAGAGAGCCTAGTTCCGTCTGCCTTGGCAGAGCATTGTTGCGCCGAGCAAGCCTCTACACTGCAGGTTGGCGGGCTGGCTTGAGAGTTGGAAAGTTCCAAGTTCGAAGCTCGATGCCGCACAGCCAGAAGACCGGTGTAGGCGACCAAAATTCTAGACGCGTTTTGAGCTCCAGAGTCGCTAAACAGGACTCGAACAGAACGTGTGACGCCACCAGTGGATTCCTCGTTCGGAGAGCAATCTATTGGTGGGGTCACACGTTCGGTTCAAGTCCCTTAGCGGCTCTGGAGCTCAAAACGCGTCTAGAGGTTTGGCCGCCGGCGCTGGTCCTCTGGCCCTGGCCCACTGTGCGCACTCCTCTCTTTGAAGTTGACTGTACTTACGCCTGTGCTGGAGGCGCTGGAGGCTGCGCGCGCTGCGTGGGTCTCTGCTGGAACTGCACCGCGCTGCACCGCACCTTGCGAGGAGACTGCGGCCAAGTGACCAACGGCTGACAGCCCAAGCTTGCCCAAGCTCGCTCAAGCTCGCCTACTTGGCAACTGCCGCCTCCCCGCTACACCGCGGCACCGCGGCTCGCGCCCACCCGCCTGGTCGGCCTTAGTCGGCCTGCACCGCGCACCGCTGCAGTCCTGTCCGATAAAACGCATTCACCGCGGATCGGGTTCTTCTTCTTTTGCACCGCCGCACCGCTGCGCCAGCACCGCTTGCAGCCCCCGCGTCCGCGCCCCGCGCGTGTAGCGCGCGTGCGGCGTGCACATGGCGCCGGGCCTCTCTCTCTCTCTCTCTCTCTCTCTCTCTCTCTCTCTCGCACGCCCCAACGGACGCCCTCGAGTGCGACAGAGACAGAACGATGAGATCAGTGCTCGGAATCAGCCGGCAGGGAATACCGGCAGACGCGTGCTTGCTATCTAGCGGCCGCAACGTTCTCTCTCTCTCTCTCTCTCTCTCTCTCTCTCTCTCTCTCTCTCTCTCTCTCTCTCTCTCTCTCTGTCTCTCTCTCTCTCGCTCTCTCGCACCACTGTGGCTTCGAGAGCGAGTGAGACGAGGCGCGAGCGCCGCTCTTCGCGATGAGGCGTCTCGAATGGCAAGCTGGCCCGCGAGTGACTCGAGTGACTCGCCACCCGAGCGTCACTGCACTGTCAGTGCAGGCCGCGCGGCGTGAAGGAGGCAAGTGCATTGTGTGCATCGGAGCCGAGTTGAGATGCACTACAAAACGCACTGGCATCCTTAGGAATTTGCCGAAACAAAAGCGGCGATCTGTCAATCATTGGAAGCCTGACTTGACTTGACTTGACTTGAAAGGCTAGACCACAACTGCAGGTTGCCTTCTTTGCGGCGCTGCGCCCGCTGCGCCACTGGTTGCGACTAGGACTCTAGTTGCGACTAGTTTTCTGTCTTGGCCAATGGGAGAGCCGCTTGCCATTGGCACAACGCGGCATTCCCCGTTTCCCTGTCGCTGCCGCTTTTCTCTTCAAACCGCTTCAAACTTCCCTCGTCCGCGGGGGCGGGTGGCGGCCTCTAGCGGCGACGTCTTGCACTAGTATGAGAAGCAGCAGCTGATTTGTCGTGGAGCGCAGAAGCAGAAGCAGACGCCGTAGGCAGACTTTTTGCGCTGCCTCGCAAATTTCTTTCCGTCTTCGTGAAACCTTCGCTCGCCGACGTCTGAAAGCGACTCGACGGTCGCGGTCCGAAAATGCTTCGCACGCTCGCCACACAAGGTGAGAGAAAAAATGGATGTCATGTCTTAAATGCGTTTCGGAGGACTTGTGCTGACGATAGGTTATGCCCTCTGTTTTGATCTGCGTCGTCTTTTCCCCGCTCTCCCCTCTGTTATACATTTTCTATTATTTTTACTGAATTAAATACCATTTTTTCTTATGCCTGAGATATTTCAATCAAAATGTGTCAGACTTAGTGTTTTTAAATACCTTAACCTCACTCCACTTTTGAAAGGTGTTTTGACCCAAGGGCAACTTTATTTTGTTAGTCTGTTCCCAGTCAATCGGTTTCGTATTCCTTTAATAATTATACATGCAAACTTCATACATTTTGGTTGTAATTTTGAATCTCTTGTGGTGTAATCTATTGCAATTGTACAGTTAAGATTGTTGGCGACTTGCCATCTTTCCTAACACTAACTTTGTTTTGACGCATTTTCTTATATTTCAGCCAAAGCTGCTCCGCAGTTGCTTGGAGCTTCAAAAGCCCAAGCTCTTCTCCAGAATGGTGCGATGGGTGTTCTGCCCCAGCATGTCCAGGCTTCTTCAGCTGTACAGGCTGAAGGTGGAGGTGGGTACCTGTTTGCACTCTATTATTGTGCTGTTGTCATTTTGCTTTCCTGCACTTTGGATTTCATATAATACTGAATTCGATCCTCTTTGCATTATAGCTGTTGTAAAGAGGAAGCCATACTCTCCCTTCGGTACAAATCAGTCTACATGGGGAGAATATGCTGTGGCCCGCCTGGATGATCTTTTGAACTGGGGCCGAAAGGTAAGCTGAAGACTTTTGATTGTTTTGAGAATGCCTTGCCCTTCATTGTCTTTAAATGGTTTTTCTCTTCAGAGCTCCATCTGGCCACTTACATTTGGTTTGGCTTGCTGTGCGGTTGAAATGATGCACATTGCTGCTCCCCGATATGACATGGATCGATATGGTGTTGTATTCCGAGCATCTCCTCGACAAGCTGACGTGATTATTGTTGCTGGCACCCTTACTAATAAAATGGCTCCAGCTTTGAGGAGAGTGTACGATCAGGTATGACCACTCTTGTTAACAATTCTTTGAGAAATTATTGTTTAGTTTCTCTTATGTATGATCATTATTTGATCTTCTGTTGCCATTTTTAGATGCCAGAGCCCCGTTGGGTCATTTCTATGGGCAGCTGTGCTAATGGTGGTGGATATTACCATTACTCCTATTCTGTTGTCCGAGGGTGTGATCGTATTATCCCAGTGGACATCTATGTACCTGGTAATTAACCTGAAACTATTTTAATGTGTTGAGTTTGCATTGTTCATTGACACAATCCATTGTCCACATTGCCAGGCTGCCCACCCACAGCAGAGGCCTTGATGTACGGTGTGCTCCAGTTGCAGCGCAAGGTGAAGCGCATGACAACACTTCAATCCTGGTACCGTAAATAAATAAATACAATTCAAATACTCTAGCGACCTATTCACTCTGTAGTTTTCAGTTTCTGCTGAGGTATCAATGTTATTGTTAAAGTCTTTTTAATCTAACTATCATAGGTAATTTCTTCTACAAAATGCAAATACTTGTTACAATTGTCTAAAAACATGATGATAAAACTTTTGTGTACATATTGGGAATTTATACCACCAGAAAGATGTGATAGTGGAAGCTTGTAAGGGTGTACATATATTTTGGATATTGTAATAAAAGAGATACAGCTATAAAAAAATATTTAATTGATTCAATACCTAATACAAAATTTTGCTCTTGAAGCATCTGACTGTAGGTTTCATCTCATACCTACTCAGGTAACCAAATTGAAGGAGTAATAAGAATTAGTCATAAGTAAGGTGAAATGACCTTTCATTATCCCTACGATGAGACTCATGAAGCTTAGAGACCTGGTCAAGATGGTTTTGGATGGCATGAGTGTTGTGTTCAATCCATTGCAGAGAATCCATATGAGAATTTAATATGCGACCAATCTGAACCAGCTGCAACATAAGAAGAAAACATAGCCACATGAACACGCTTCGGCACTTTTCAACTGTGATACTGTTTTGCAGAGCAGAGCAGTATACTTACCGGGTCTGATGAGTCCTGAGCTCTGTTCCTTTCATTCAAATTTTCTATAATTTCTTTGAGGTCCTCTGACATCTGTTTCAGTTGGGTATCCATGTTTGAAGCCAGCTCATATCTATGAATGGAAAAGCAGCACAAGAGGTTTTTTATGTTGATTTTTTTTCTCAGTCAAAAAGCAGATAATGATATTAGGAAATGAAACTTACGTGTGCTCGCGTTCCGGGTCGGTGACGGCGTTTCCTGCCAATTCCTTTTCCAGAGGGACAAGGCAATCTTCTAATTCTCTTTGCTGTGAGCATATAAATTCCAGTTCATTATCTAGTCGCTGTTGCTCCATTTTAACCGATTCCACTGCTCGGTTAAGGCCCTCAATCTGAATTGGGAAAAAAAAAAGAAAGATTAATAATACATGACATGAGACACTGAGAAACTTTATTAAATGGAGAAGTACAGACCTTTTCACCATTTGAAGTCAGTGTGCGGTCCCAAGCATTGACCTGAGTAGCTTGCAACATGAATAACTTTTCTTGTTCCTCAAGGTCCATAGTCCATTTGTTAATTGTCTCCTCTAACTGGACAAAATTCAAAGAGGTCACAGGACCACTTGGAGTGGAGTCTGAGGTGGTGGTGGTTGTTGTTGTTCCTGATGTAGCTGCACTTGCAGCTGAAGCTCCCAAGTTGCTAAAACATTAAAATTCAAAGCAAAATAATGAAAACATAAATATGCAGGTTTCGACTACATTAAGTGAAATTTGGCTTCACAGTACATACAATGAAAGTTGAGGGGCAGATGTGGTTGCTGTTGTTGAAGCTGGGAAACTAAATGAAACTGATGAAGATGTGGTTTGAGGAGCTGCACCTGTGGTAGAAGCAGCTGGCAGGGCGGAACTAGTCAAAGACGTGGTCAATGAAAATCCAGTTGATACTGCGCTGGTTGCTGATGTTCCCAGGGAAAGTCCTGTTGATGCTGGAGTAGCGGCCACGCCACCGAAATTGAAGCCAGTTCCAGATGCAGGGGCTGCTGAAGATGGAGCAGTGATGGAGAATCCTCCAGCGGCTGGAGCGGAGGTGGTCGCTGCTGCACTGGCGGTCGGTGCCCCACCCAGGGACAGTCCAGTGGAGGCAGCGGGAGTCGCAGCTGGGGCTGCCGAGCTGAAGGAGAAGCCAGTACCAGTGCCAGGTGCAGCTGCTGTGGCAGTCGTTGACGTGGAAACGGAGCCCAACGACAGGCCCAATGAAGGTGTGGATGTGGACCCCAAGCCGAAAGACGTGGCTTGAGAAGATGCTGGAGCTCCAAAACTTGGAGCTGCCGCTGCACTACTTGCTACAGCTCCAAAACTTGGGGCAGCTCCTGGAGCGGCAGCTGTCGCCCCAAAACTTGGAGCGATGCTTGCAGGGGCTGCGGCTCCGCCAAATGAGGGAGCAGCGCCAGGAGCACTACCGACAGAGCCAAAAGTTGGGGCAGCTCCAGCAGTGCCTGCAACCGCTCCGAAAGTAGGGGCTGTGCCAGCAGCACTTGCAGGAGCCCCAAAGGTTGAAGCGCTGGTAGGGGCACCAAAGGTGGGGGCTGCTGTGCCTGTTGCTGCGCCGAAGGTAGGAGCTGGGGCACTACTTGGCGTGCCACCAAAGGAGAAACCCGTGGAAGGGGCGCTTGTTGGAGCAGACAGACCAAATCCTGAAGTAGGGGCAGCACCAAATCCTGAAGCGGGGGCAGCACCAAATCCTGACGCAGGGGCAGCTCCAAATCCTGAGGCTGGAGCGCTGCCGAACCCTGAAGTAGGGGTGGCACCAAAGCTGAAGCCAGTGGGAGCCGAACCAAAACCTGTTGCGCCAGGAGCAGCACCAAAAGTAGGCTTTGGTGCAGCGAAAGACGGAAGGCCTGCGAAAGAAAGGATTCAATTAGTGTTCTATTAGTCCTTTGCTTAAGATAAAATTAGTCAAGTTCAAAATGAGCATACCTTGCTTAGGTGCATCGCCACCACCGCCAAACTGAATACCGATATTCCCTAGATTGATGCCAGAAAGGAATATGTTAATATCTAACCAAAAAGCAGGAGTTCTGGCATAGGAAAATGTAATCCAAGTCTACTGCTCTACCTGGATTGAAGCTCATCGTGACTTCCGCTTCACCACCTAAAAAGTGACATGGAGAATAAAAATACTAACTGAGCGAGAACTCTTAAAGAAAAAAAAAAACTGACATACATTTTGTGAAACAATAGGAATTGAATCGAGCTAAAATGCTAAGACTTATGTCCAAATGAGGGAAAATTTTACAAACACGGCATAACTAACCTCAGGGCTAACAAAAATATTGACTACCAAGGCTTTTTAACATACTCACCACAGTAAAGTGTTTACACTTCGAAGCAAGAGCTTAAAAATGACTGCCTTAACGCGAATGAACTTTATACAATCGTGGAAACCTGATGTAAATAGAGATTTAATGGGTTTCAGAACTACAACCACAATCAAACACCGGGCCTCGCGCTCCAGACGCCATTACACTTGTAGCCAACTTGACAGGCAGTTTACCTCCTTCCAATCAGCCCAGCTTTAATTAATTCTAACTGCTTGTCACGCAGAACGGCGGCACAAAACCAAGCTAGTGCAGCTAAATAATGAAAGGGAGAACAACTTGGAGTATCTTGAGTCCGTGGAATAGAGTGGCTTGAGCATGTTAAAGATAGGTTTTAACGAGAGGAGGGAAGTTTCCCGTTCGCGTAGCTTGTGATTTGGCCTGTGTTGATCAGCTGATTTCATTGGCTTTGGGAAGAAACTTTTGGCCGAGGCCAGTGGAAGGGTCACGCGTCAAAAAGGGTAAGTTATTCTCCGGTACGTCGTTAGTCCCCCTGGAACTGAAGAAGAAAGAGTGAAAATTTATCGCAGCGCCCACAGACCTTTACTTGAAACCCCTGTGGCGAGCGGTGCTTTTTGCGCGTCCAGACACGGCTGCCTTGAAAGTCCCCGCACTTTTCGCTTCACCCGATAGATGTCACCAGGGAGTCACGTGAAAAGTTATGGTGGAAGGTGTGGAGTAAAATCAAATGTTGATTAGGAAAGTTTGTCCAAATCTCTACCCTCTTTGATCATTTAGCTGTGTTTCGGTTGAACCTACCTTCGTGTAAGTATCATTGTGTTATTATTATTGAAGGCAAGGCGTCTGTGTATCATGTGTTCGCAAGCTGTCATGTGAGCTGGTCATGAAAATTGCCCACAATTCTTGTCAACATTTAGTTTTAAGTCATACTTGTGACTTCCCAATGCCATAGATTGCCGTTTTTTGGTGTGTAATTTTTATTTTCATGAATAGAGTCCATAAAAGTATCATTCGATTTTGCCTATGGTGTCACAAGATGTATTCTTTGTGAGGATATTCCCAGATTACCTTGAATTTATGTTATCTGTCTATTTTCTGTTCTCTTTTAGCCTGAACATCATCCAAACTTCCATAGAAGATGACGGAATACTGGCTTATTTCTGCCCCTGGAGACAAAACTTGTCTGCAGACATGGGAATCCATGAACAACCTTACAAGCAAACAAAACAGCCTGTCAGATAACTACAAATTTAACATACCAGATTTGAAGGTAAGTTTCCTATGTCTTGTTTCTTGTAATGGTTTTTATCCTTTTGTTTGTTGTCTTGTTTCATTTCTTCTTAAAAGACTGGGTATTGGCCCCTTGTATGCGGGGACTGCGTAGTCCTATTTGTAGAATTCTTCTGTTAGCCTTACCTAAGAAAAGCAGAAATTTACAGTGTCAACCTTCTTTTGAATGAATATCATATAAATTTTTTGATATTTGTTTTAAGGTTGGAACTCTGGACCAACTGGTTGGATTATCAGATGACTTGGGGAAACTGGATGGTTTCGTTGAGTCAGTGACTCGAAAAGTAGCGGCATACCTTGGCGAAGTTCTGGAGGATCAGCGGGACAAGCTGCATGAAAATTTGATGGCCAACAATGGTAAGTTGTCAATGTTAACTTTTTGTTTACCTTTAATTTCTGAAAATTTAAGTTTGGTTTGTTTTTAAATCCTATTAACCTCATCTCCATTTTCAAACTTCAATCCTTTAAACTTTTATTTTGAATTAGATTCCTTATTTCATGGCAATGGGAGCCTCATTGTTTCCTTGTTACTATTTCTTAACCTTCTTTTTCATTAAGCTACCTTTACCTCATTTAGTTTTCAAAGTAATTTTATATCCATTCCTAATTTTCTTCCTATTTTTCTGAACCTTACAAAATTGCATTCATTGCAATAGTTCTTAATGCCACTAGTGACCGTTATTTTCCTGTACTAGGTAGAACTACACTACTATTGTAGTTCAAACATTTGTAAATCATCATTGTATTATATCTCCAGTCAGACTCCTGATGGGTTTATCAGGTGGTCATGGTTTTCGTGTGTGTGTTTGTGTGTTTTTCTGTGTATTAGTGTAGATATTCTGTAAATATGTAAGATGTACATACTAACATTAGTGTTTCTGAAACTTGATGGCATCAACTATTCCATTAACATTTTATGCATTGTAACAGCACAATTATCCTCATCAGGTAAGAAGTTCCATGGGTGTTAGACTGTTTTGATTTTTAAAACATTGGGTTTTTGAAATATTTTTTTGAACCACCTTTAGTTTATTATATTTTGTACTACTGGTCCCTCTTTTTACTGAACAAATTCCTAGTTTGTATTTTGTATGGTATACGTATTTTTATTATTATTATTGTACTTGGAAAGTATTGATCAAAAAGTCACTTGTTCCCCAGATAGGTTTTATGCATTCAGTGTGCAAGGCTAAACTTTCCTTTCTAGTAACTAACAGGTTTATTTTCAGAACCACTAAAACCCATAACTTTTATTTCATTTAATTTTTACACCTTTTTTTAACATTCTACATCTGTTTTGGATGTGGTGTGGTGCTGCAGTAGTCTAACAGAAGTAAAACTTCATTGACATTTCACTTTAAAGGGTTAAGAAATGTGTGTTGTTTGTTGATTTAGGGCTTCTAATATTATAGATCTTGCTAGAGGAACATGAACTCCTACTTTTCTTCTAAAGGGGTGGGGATGAAACATCAAAGCTTGTTAACAATTTGGCATCACCAGCTTTCTCTTTTATATGTCTCCACCCCTTCTATTTGTTAAACTATTATTTGCAGTAGCTGCTTATTTGTAAACTTCGAACTTGGTGTCAAAACCTGTCACCGAGTCATTGGCCTGTTTTTTATTTCCAGATAGTGCTAAGTTGTCCACTGCAAGTTTCCTGAGAGCTCAAGATGGTGGGTCTTATCGAAATAGCATGTTGGAACGTATGTTTTGGATTGTTTGATCGTAAAGTGGCGACAAAATGTCTTGGCTGGAGCTCTTTAAATGAGTCAAGCTGAAATAAGTTACCTTTTCTGCTAATTGTCAAGTTTTAGCATGTGGCAAAGAATAATGACTGTGCTTTCAACTTGTGACAAAATTATTCTTGTTCTATATGCTACCAATTTATTAACTTCCGTAAGCTGATGTGCTTCTTGTTTTAATAAAATTCATCTGCTTTACTAATATAAGTTAACAGGGAAGAAACCAAAACTCAGTTTGCATCTGGCTCATTGTGGGACTCCATTCCTAATGTGAACTGTTTTGTGCTGCAGCAGCGTTGGATTTTACTCTGCACGGCACAGCAAGGGGTTCAAAGGATATATCGGGTACCTAGGCTTGGTTTCTGTCGGTTTGTCTCGGACATGATCTGGCTTGACTTGCATATATATTTTTAAATTTCCAAAACATGTGATTTTTAAATAACTGCAAACAAAATATTTAATGACCAAACTTACTTAACCTAGCAGCAGCCTGTATTATTTCTTGATATTCCCAACTTTTGTTACCATTCTCTACAATATGTAAATCTTTAAATGAAGAAGTTTTGGAAATTTTTGATACAGTTGGCAAAAGAAGGTAGCTTTTTCTCTATGTGCAAGTGCAACTTTATATTGTTTCTTTCTCATTTAATTAAATCTTGACGTGAATGGGTTACCTGGCTTATCACCATCTATCTTTTTGTCCTGCAGAACTCTAAAGGCTTCTTCTTTTGTCAAACAAGCTCATGCAATAGACAGGTTGTTCGAGAGTTGCCTTACATTCTAAAATAATTTCTAAGAGTTGATCATATTTGAACTGGCAAGCATGCAAACATTGCAAATTAACTTGATAAGGAAGACTTTTAAAAACACCTTGTGGTATGGAGAGTAGGTACGGTGCAATCATTTATCTGACGAGTGTTTTCAAGAATATGCTTAAAACCGACCAAAAGTTTTACCTTAAGTTGGCCTTTTCTCTCTTCATCTCAAGGTGCGGGAAGTGCATGTCAAATCATTGGGGAAGAATACGCATGTTTGATGAATAAACATAAAATGCAATGGGGCCTAGAGCTTGGATAATGATTTTTAAACTGCAATTCTTTGAAACTGCGTAATTCTTTTGACATTACACTAAAAGTTTGATTATTATTGTCATAACGTATGCTGGCTGCCCAGTAATTTTCTGTTCATGTAATCCAGAGGTATTGGTAGTATGATATTGATAAGTATTTAAAATTGATACTTTAATTGCTCTGCCGCAGGGAATCCCAGTTTTAGCTCCTCTAACTGCTAGTTTGCCTTGTCACTCAAGTGCATGCGATTGTTAAAATTACCAAGTATTACGGGCTCTGCACAAGTCGATTATATTGAGCAGCTGCTGACAGATACTATGCTAAATAGATAAAGAATACACAGTGTAACCTTCCAACAAATGCACCAAAACTCATAAATTTCTTGCAAAACTTAAAGATATAAAATAGGGGGATGACTAAACAATTGATTGCCTTGCTGGTAATTTACATTGTGTGTGCATTTGCATGTTGCTGCTCTGAAAGGTGTTCGAATTGGGTCACCCTGCATTGTGCTGCGTGGTTTTTCCGTTCTTTTGGCCGCCGAAAAACTTGATTTGTAGCCATAGTGTGTGAAACAGTGCAAAAGATGCCCTGCTAATCACTGTTAAAAAAATAATTCTTCTCAATTTTTTTTTTAGATGACCAAATTGATCAAATCAAAATAGCACAGCACTCTAAGTTAAATATTATCTGAGAATGAACTCTACAGAGACAGTTCTTTTTAATGAATCCAGAAGTGATTTTCATCACCAAATATTGGTGGCACTGCTCTCAGCATGATTGTGAAATATGTAAAACTGAATTTAATTAAATCTTCGTATCGTTTAAAAGAAATATGAAACACAAGAAGTTTGGTTTAGGTCATTATTCAACTTGTGTCAAGAATGTAATCCTTGCTGTGCCGTGCGTGTGAGCTGTGAGCTGTTGGGTGTTGCTCGCAGGGCACCGCAGAACCTCCCAGCGCTACGTGCAATCCAACTTCTGTGCTCTGGCTGTGAAAAAGCTGGGCACTGCGGGCTGCTACCGTGTCATTTTTGCCTTGCTCATGTATGATATTGCAGAAGTGATGTTGAGTGGGCTGTTTGCTGTTTGCGCTCTGCTGGCCAAAATGTGGGTACTGTCTTGTTCATGAGGTAACTCATTGTCTGAGTGAAGGCAACTTATTCGAAACGCTTGGGCGTCATGCATGAAGTATGGAGTACTGATAAAGTTCTTATTAGCTGCAAGAAAATTATTTAACCTTCAAGTCTGATGTGAATTAACGTTTCAAAGCCACCCGAATCAGATAATGGTAAGGGTAAGAAAGCAGGTGCTTGACTGTAGCAAATCTATTGTCTTTGTGTTTATGGAATTCTTCAATTTGACACATTGATCAAGTTTAGTGAGTTTTGATCTGACTCTGATGATTATTAAAGTAACATACCATGTACTATGTACTTTGTATTTCTTATCTTACTTTTTTCTTTTTAACAAGGACAGGAGTTGTCTTTTATTTTCAAATGTTCCTGTTTCTATTTGATGTTTAACTTGACTCAGTTAAGTGACATTGACTGTAATGATTTCCCCTTGGTCCTCCTCTCGTTCTCTCCCTCTTTCCCATTACCTGCTCCTTAAATCCATCCATTCCTCACCCTTGATGAGAACTTCATTCTGTTTCGAGAATCATAGCACTAAGAAAATCTTGCAGTGTTGTTATTGATGTTTCATCATGTCATTTCATATGGGTGTGCTTTTCATTTGTTTTCCATTTCCATTTATTTTCTTTTGAAACTAATTTTTTCTGTGTGCTGAAAATTTTTTTCTTTGTCAGAAGTGCTCCTGCCATATCCCTTTGGGAGAATTTGCATTGGGTTAGCTTTGGCTCTGCGCAAAGTTTTACGTGCTGTGTCTAGTGTACCTTTTCTGTATGGCTTTTTAGATATAAGTCTTCACTAGATTGAAATTTGACCATGTTTTGGTGAGACATTCACTTTCTTGTCTTTTCAACTCTCAAGTTCATTGATTCTTCAATTGTTTCGTATCTTCTTCCAAGGCCTTATTTGCCAACAGTTTTCTGACAACCTCATTTTTCACTTTCTAAAAATCTACCTTAAAAATATGAATAAATTGAAATCTTGCCTTTTATTTCAATACATTTTTGTGTGTATTACCCGTTGTGTTATGTGTCAATTTGTGTGAAGTGTCCCAGAAAATATTGCATGTTCCTCATGAGGCCATCGCATCTGGTCAAGTAGATACTGGTGAGCTTTCTAATCCTGCAAGAAATTTCGGAATTGCTTCTAACGGTTTAACTGTTGCAACAGGTGATCTTTCAAATTACATCACTCGGTTCCAATGGGACATGGCCAAGTACCCCATCAAGCAATCCTTGCGCAACATTGCTGACATCATAAGCAAGCAGGTTGGTCAGATTGATGCTGACTTGAAGACAAAGTCTTCAACTTACAACAATTTGAAGAGCAGCCTCCAGAATATGGAGAAGAAACAAACGTAAGTTGCTTATTTGCTTATTGAATTTATGTAGTAGTTACACATTTAAATGTTACAAGTGTTGTGTGCCTTGATACATTCTTTACATATCAAATATTTTTCTAGGGGAAGTCTTCTTACAAGGAATTTGGCAGATCTCGTCAAGAAGGAACACTTCATCCTAGATTCTGAGTACCTAAATACTCTGCTTGTGGTTGTGCCCAAGTAAGCGTACATTCATGTTTCTCATTTTGAGCAACAATTCTTGTGTACCAATTTAAAAGGAAATTTATCCTTTTGACAGGCAGAGCATCAATGACTGGTGGGCAAACTATGAAAAGTTGACAGACATGATTGTGCCACGCTCCTCTCAAATGATAACTCAAGATCAAGACTACGGTCTTTTTACAGTTACACTGTTCAAGAAAGTTGAGGATGAATTCAAACACCATGCTCGGGAAAAGAAGTAATTTGCTTTCCGTCATGTTTTGCACTTAGGGTGTCGGGTACAGTTTTTGAAGCAAATGGCTCTGTTTGTTTTAGATTCATTGTACGTGAGTTCAAGTACAATGAAGAGGAACTGGCAGCTGGCAAAAATGAAATAACAAAACTTGTTACCGATAAGAAGAAGCAATTTGTAAGTTTTGATCATTTTTAATTGCCGTATTGTAATGTGATTGATCGTATTGTGATTGGTCATATTGTGACTGTGTGCCATCTCTTTAACAGGGACCCCTGGTTCGCTGGCTCAAAGTCAACTTCAGTGAATGCTTCTGTGCATGGATTCATGTGAAAGCACTCCGGGTCTTTGTTGAATCTGTGCTAAGGTATTGGGATGTTTCAGTTACCTGTAAAAAGTGCCATTTAGTACTTTTGTCTGTTCCTAATTGCCTTTGTGTCGTAGGTACGGTCTTCCTGTCAACTTCCAAGCTATGCTTTTGCACCCTAATAAGAAAAACACGAAACGTCTGCGGGACGTTCTCCTCCAACTCTATGGACATTTGGATGGCAGCACACAGCAGGGGGGTCTAGCCCATGACGTAAGCTACCACTTGATTCCCCCTTGCTCTTTTTTCTGTCTCAGTGTTGAAACTATTTTTTTTATTCACAGAGTGTGGATATTCCTGGCCTGGGTTTCGGACAGTCTGACTACTATCCGTACGTGTACTACAAGATCAACATAGACATGGTTGACCATAAACCGTAGGCTAATGACATAAGATGATGTGGATGCGATGGGCAGTCAAATACTTCATTTTGGCACTCTGTACTGTAATTAAGTGAGGTGCAAGTGTGTTGGTATTCCATGCTTCACCCTTGCATTGCAGATGATTTCTAGCCGTATCATTTTAATGAAATTGCCCGAGAGGCTGTAGATTACTCATGTATAAATAATAATAAATAAAATAAGATACATTTATATACAAACATTTTGTTCATGTACAGCCGTTGGATTTTGTGTAGCTTATGTGTCTTTATTTTGTTCAAATTTTTTCCTACTCATTGGTTTTGAACACACAGATATATTGTAGTATAGGATCAATTTTGCTTTGCTGTCATGTCATTTTCACCGGATAATGGTAATTTCCTTTTCTCATGATGCTGTTGGCTCTGCTTCTATTTTGTTGTGAATAGAGGATCAATGTTAAAGGCCTTAAGTGTTCAATGATCTTTTTGATCCCCCTGTCAATTCACACTTTGCTATCAGCCTGGCATGAAATTGAATCAACAACGTCTAAAGCAGTTTCTCATACAGAATGACAAAGCATTGGTAACTTCTGGGTTTGGATGCATATCTTTCAGAAATGATGTGCCTTAATTGAGTGACTTTATCCAATGACATTCCGCAACTGCCTGGTTTTCTATGTGCTTGTAAAATTATAAAAATAAGCTTAAATTTAGCAGTCCAATAATGCGATGCGTAATCAATTCCAGTCAGACTAACCAGTACTGCTTTTGGCTGATTCCTGGTTAGAAACATTGAAATCTTGTTTTGCTGGTTTTGTGCTTCAATTTAGCGGACTTTATTGTCTAAAATGTGTTTTTTCATTTATCATTATATGTGTGCATTTGTGCGAATTAAAGATATTTTGTGAAGATTGCATGTTTCGTACTGACATTTAGTTATGTGTTATAGGTGCACCACAGTTCGGAATATACTGGTAAAAGTTTGATTTTTAACTGTATATGATGTAGAGATGTGTTATGTCATAATGACTTTTATGTTGGAAAACATAAAACATTTAGTAGAGATCATGTAAAAATTTCTTCTTTAGGCTGTGCTTTATTTTTGAGCTTATTTGGACTTTTAATTCTTGTTACCTCCTCTGTAAGCTGGTTTTTATTGTACATTTTGCTTATTTTTATAAGCGGCTCTTCCTTCTCTATTTTAACAAAAGTGTGATGAAATTGTTGTGAAAAGGAGTATTTTCTGAGGTTGTATCTATCTAAATTGCCTTAATTTTTTTTTGGTAGCATTACCATTATGACAAGACCTACTTGACTTCAACTTCTACTATTTTACCATTTATCCTGCCTTATTTGTGCATTTTGTTGTTGAGCCATTTTCAAATTTTTAGTTTTATTTCCTCATTTTTAATGGAATTCATGTTGTTTTTTAAACTTGTACCGCCTCAGGTCATACTTTCCTATGATTTAAATATGTATAGAAAATTTACATTGTATTTAACAGTTACTAATCATACTTCATCCAATTTGTATCATGTGAAATTGTGTAAGAAATTAAGCTATTTGTGTGACCTGATCACACTTGTTTAGTAGTGGCTTGTTAATATGTACTTCAAAACCATTGCAATGTTACCATATAATTCCTTCACTAAATAGAGATTACTTTGGTACAGTATTTTGTTTTTAAGCATCAAGTGCGCTTCAATTTAAAAGCGCTCTGCTGGAGTTACAATCCCAATCTATTTCCCCAGCACCAGCATGGTGTGGTTTTAAGTGCGCACACTAACTTCATCTCCTTTTATATGCATTGTGCTTTAGAGTTGTGAATGGCCATACTTATGTCAAACTTACTCTGGCAGTTGTAAATGAATCTTCTATGAAGAGAATGTGTTTTTCTATATAATCACTCAAAGAAGTCAGCGCCATGGCGTGTACTTGATGTGTTCTGTTTCATGTAGAATGTATAGTGTGCCTGTGTATTGTAAGACCAGCCGAACTTCAATCTTGTTTTCAGTTTTATTACCACCCTGCTGCCCTGGACTTTTGCTGAAAGATTAAAACTATTCAAGCTTCCACATCATCTCCTTATAATTTCTTCATTGTCGTTTGGTCTATAATTGGTGTGGTCTGTTGGAATGCAGTATGATTTGAGTCGACATTGTGCGTCTTCAACAATACTATGATTATGCTCCGTTAGTGAGCATGCCTCTCATTACCAACTTGACAATAATTCTCCATCCTTTTGGCAGCCCAGCACCTTCTGCCAATTTATCTTCAGTATTGTATGTAAAGAAAAATCACGTTACAGTAATTTAAATTAAAGTATAATTCTATGAAGTTTTTGCATGTAGCCCCAAAAATGATGAATTGTCTTCTGAGATGTTTACTTTGTTTTGTTGACCATTTTATTGTAAATTTCACTCAAAGATAAATGCCATGTAGATTTCTATTTTTATGGAAGTAGGCTCATTATATATTATTGGTGTAGATAGTGTTTGTGTTCAGTCATTTTTGTGTACAGAGCAGTGCTTGTGTAATATATTGGCATCTCTGCATTCCATTGGTCAATAAATTGTTGAATAATTTAATCTGTTGCCTTCTTTTTCTTATCGGGCAATCCATTCATAGAGCTCAGATCAGTAGAGAAGGAGGAGAAAAAAAAAAGATATCGCATTTTTCCATCATCTATATTCTTTAAAAACAGTAACAAAATGGGAAGAGAGGGTCAATAAAATAGGGTAGACACAGGCTAGTCTTGCTGTGGAATTATGACACATGCTTTCAGAGAAGTAACATCAAGGATATCTATTACAAAATCTACATCCATTAAGAACGTCTTCTGCATATTAGACACAAAACAAACTGCAGCAGCGAAACGCTCTCTTGGATATAAGGAAGACAAAACACTTGGACAAGTAAATAAATTAAAAAGAACAGTATCTGAGTGACAAAAAGTTGACACCAACATGAAAACAGAAACTTCAAACTTTGAAGCTTTGTCCATGCGGTTGATAACCGTGGTGATCCACACAAAACTGTTATAAGAAAAACCTTGATATGATTTGGAAAAGAACAAAGGACCACACAGAATCACTCACACGCACACACACAAATAAATGCAAATAATATGAATAGACTAGAATATAGAAGGATCTTCTCAGAACAGATAATAATGACTGCTTTACCTCGGTGGCACTTTCCTGACAAATATCTGGCAGCAGAAACTAATAAAAACAGACTTTCAAATATATTGTTTTGAAAAAGAGATCTCTTTTAACCCACCAAAGAACAGATTTACAGCAACTCTACAACTGAAGTCACAACCTGTTTGATTGAAGATGAATTATGACAAGCTCATCAAAGAGAACAATATCTCCATTGATAGGTAATACAAGAATCTTGGTCTTATGATTTTGTATGAAGACACTCTAATAATGCTTCCCAGCAAAATTAAATACTGACAAATATTTAGACACAGTCAACATGTTCAGTCAAAAAAGGTATGAGTAAATTTTGAAGTGAGCTCATCAAGAATAGGCACATATATTAATTAAACCTAGGCCAAATGAACTTTCTTCCGACACACTCCACTTATAGGTACATCACAGAATAATAAACATATAGCAGCCATGCCTGTAGAAACTGTTTTGGGTGATAAAACCTCCTAATGTATTATAGTAAAAACGTAATATTGGTCTAGAGAGAAATCTTGAACAAGGCCTATTCAAACTTTCGACGTAACCGCTGTTTTACAAGAACTGGAATGAGTGAGAGAACTGCAAAAACAGCCAATAGTATGACAGAGTTCCAGGAAAACTTAGCATCTGATGACGACAGCTGATGAAGTGTCTTCCCAGTCTGGATTGCAACAAAAGATGGTGGCGCTACTCCTGAAAACAAAACAGGAAATTCATTTTAAAATCTTGATAGTTTAGCTGTAGAAAGGGCTAAGTGCTTCAGCCCCAGATCTTACCAAAAAATGTTCCAAGCCAAAATGGCTTTATTGGGACATCTATCACAGGGGCAACTATGTTGATGAACCAGTTGGGAAGAAAGGGAGTGACACGAAGAAAGACCATGTAGTTAAATAAATTGTCATTCTGCTTTTTTACCTGTAAGCCACATCATATCAATTAACACAAAAGCCCTTCCAGAAAAAAACAATCAAGCAGGATATTTTTTTAAAGAACAGATACAGTAAATTATTGATTGGGTATTACCGTTGCTGCCCACTGAGCAGCTCTTTCTGGCCAATACTTGTACACTACTCTTCGGCCAACAAGTGAGCTCAAGAGGAAACACAGAGAAGCACCAGTCGCTGAACAAAAGCAAACGAGGAGCAAAGCAATGGGGAACGGAAACAAAAATCCGCTAAGAATTGATAGGAAGATGGATCCTGGAATAGCAAATGTTTGAAGGCTGCAAGTATGTTAAGGAAAGCACTTCATGTAAAATTACTTCAGATTATGTCACAGGTTAGAACGAGCAGGACACAATGAAGGATACAATATATAAGTGATAAAAATGCCACCCAGCACTTCAGTGAAATAGCGATCTTTATAGCGATCCAAGACCTGTCCAAGTTTCTTTGCGTCTTCTATATCCCATGGCAGTTTTACATGTTGTTTCTCATGGCTGTAGAAAAACATAAAAATATATAGCATAAAGAAAACTTACGACTTTCAGAGTTTAGACATGTCCGTACTTACTCCTCTAACTGTGGGAAGGAGAAGTATACATAAGCCAGTCCCAACAGCGATACCAAAAAAATTGAAGCAACTGTCAACAGTGCATTCTTAGTTTTCATTGCTTGGTCTCCTGAAGCATCCTTCTTGCTGGTAGACTTGGAGGGTGGTTTGGCAGATACTGAGGCAAAGAATGTCACATTTACATTTTTGCAAACAACATTTTGACAATGAATGCCCAAACAGACAATGGGTATATATTTGACTAGACGAATGAAACAAATTTTTTTAGTAAGAAATACGATAAATTTGATTTGCAGACAATAGCATAAATATTATCAGCACCAATCAAATGTTTTAGTGATGTATCTTTGTCATCGCCTCCTCTACAGCAGAAGAATTTATAGGTTATATCGTGCACCGCTGCAAACTGCAAGTCAGTGAAGGATTGAAACTAAGTAATAATCAAAGCCAAACTGCGTGAGACATTTCATGCATAACGCTAAATGCAAACCGTACCTTTCCCAGACATTTTCCAAAACCAAGGCGGCGACGAAAATAAAAATAAGGATATTTGAATGACAGGCAGGTGTGTGTAAAAATCAGCTGACGACAACCGAGGGGGCGGTTCGTTGCCAACATATTCTGCACAACCAGAGAGACACAATAAATATCTGAGCCACCATCGAAGCATTCCACAAAGAAACACGCTAAGAAGAAAAGCTTTTTCGTTGCTGAGGAGAATCGCGGCGGCACATTGACGATTTCGACGATCGAATCTCAAAATAGGCGCTTCGCTCCACTGACCTACATTTCTATTGTAAGAGTACCCACACTGCCGGGATGGCGGGACAGGTTCGAATCAGTGAAGGTGAGAAATTCTGTCACTTTCCAACTTAGCTCGTCGAGTCGGCACTCCACACTTCCGTGTCCATGAACTGGCGAGAGGACGCTACGGGAACCCGGAACGCAGGCCACAGCTTGCAGGACTGCAGCCACCACCGACGACGCGACGACGCGGTGACTCGTGCCATGTCAAGACCGCAAAGCCGCACCCCCAGCAACTCTTCTCACCGTTCTCCTCGATGACGATGACACAGGTGTCTTGCCGCTTGCAAGTCGCGGTGCCGTCAACCCCTGCGTCCGATTGGTCCTCCTTCTTGTGCATCTCTCTCTCTCCCCCTCACGAGCGGCATGCGCGCCAGCCGTGGCGCCATTGCCATTGGCTTGAGAGTCTGCCGCTATCGCTCCATCTCTCTCTTCTTTGACAGTGCCACTCGGCGTGTGCCTCCCCTCCCCCTCCGCCGTCTTTTTCTCTCTCGCGGGAATGACAAGAGGTTGTCGACCCAACCACAAAAAGTAACACCACCAAAACCAGAGATGACGTCATGGGCACCTTATTTCGTTCGCTTTTTCGCGGAGGCCGAAGCGCAGAAAGTAGTGTGGCTTCGCCGGGCGTCGCGTCCCAACACGCCATTCGACGAAGCAGTTTTCCCCTGGGAGTTGGAGCGTGGGAAGCAAAGACGTCGTGGGCTATGGGGCGGACTAGCGGACCGGCCAGCCAATCGTCTCTCTGTCTCTCTCGCACTGGTGCGTCGACGGAGACAGTGTGCCCGACGACTGTTCGGAATCAGCCTCGCGACAGCGACGCAGTGTAACTTTACTGATACACTGGTCAGTCATGCACGTCGGCCGGACTAGGGGGCATCCGTAACCATCTCGCCTCTCCGACTTCGCGCGTGCGAAGCGATAACCACCCCGTCAAAGAATGCTCCTGGAACAAAGAATTTTGTGATAATTTCTCGGGGATTCATTCTAGTTTTTTTTTGCGAGACGCAAAGCGGACCGACGACTTTGAAAAAGAAAAAAAGAAAAAAAAGAGGACGCGTTAGAAACGTGTCCGTTGGCGAATGGGGCTTTTATTCAAATTCGTATGCGAGAGCGGTTTCTGGGCGGATTTTGATTTCTCGCTGCTGTGCTGCTGTGCTGGGGGGATGATCGCGATGATGGTCGCGTTGTGGCTTCGTGTCTCTCTCTGTCTCTCTCTCAACGGATCGGCCCTTGGGTGAGAGAGAGAGAGAGAGAGAGAGAGAGAGAGAGAGAGAGAGAGAGAGAGAGAGACGCTGCGTGACGGACGGCGCAAGAGGCACAAGGCCTTGCACAAGGCCGCGACCATCCATCACGGAACTGCACTTCTCCCGATCCTCAGCCGTCCAGCTTCAACCGACATTTCCTTCTTTCTCGCTGTCTCTCTCGCACTCATGGGGCGACTTAGCAGCCAGCGACCACAACAGTGCTATCAGCAGCACGGCGATGCCCCTCGCCCGAGGGACTTTGAGGCTGGGGCTTGCATCGTGCAGGCTGTGCAGGCCCGGGGTATCGCCGCCGTCGGCACCTCGGCACCGCGTTCTGCACCTTAAGGCCGGCAGCCGCCTAATGCCAAGACTGTGCACAGTGGGCCAGAAGACCCGCGGGGATTCGCGCGCAGCTCGGAGATGCGTTCTCGACCCACACACGCCCTGCACGCTGCAAAACACTCCTCGCTTTCTGGCAGAGTATCCCTTTGCAGTGGCGTAGCGGTGTTTACAGACGCGGCAGCCTCTTCCCCGCGTCGAGTGAAGCAAAACTGCGTGTCACGGGTTCGAATCCCGCGAAACAAACGGTTTTCTGAAACGCACAGCCGCACCTGCCAAGCTTGATGTTAGTGTTCGCCATGTTTGTTCTATCTTGGTTTTCAAAGTCGGACATGGGCGGCGGCGCTGGGCTGCGCAGGGCGGCAGGCGCTCTCTCTCTCTCTCTCTCTCTCTCTCGCACTCTCTCTCTCTCTCTCTCTCTCTCTCTCTCTCTCTCTCTCCGCACTCATAGGCGCCTCTTGCAGGAGCGAGAGAGACAGAGCGACTTACAGTGGGGGCCGCAAGCGGCATAGCCGGCAAAGCGAAGGGAACCGCCCCCGACATTGACACGCCAGTGGACTGAACGGCGTTTCGTCGCCCCGTCTCTCTCGCACCCTCACGGAACGTCGTGGAACGCGCCGTGAGTGCGAGAGAGACAGAGCGACAGCGCCGACGCGGCCTAGGCAGGGCTTTACGACCGGGGCTGAGACAGCTCGGTAAACTGCACACTGAACAGCAGACTGATTCCGCGCAGCACCGCGCAGCGCTTTGTTGCTGTCTCTCTCGCACCTGTACGGAGCGCCCCTCGAGTGCGAGAGAGACAGAGCGACGGAAGCGCTGCTCGCGGCGAATGGAGCCTAGCGGTGTGCATCGCGTCGGGTGAGCGCCTGACGCCTTCGCTCCGTCCCGCTCGCACTCCTTCGGAAAGCCCCACGAGAGAGACAGTGGGCCAGGGCCACAAGACCGGTGGGCGCGGCCAAAACTCGAGACGCGTTTTGAGCCCCAGAGTCGCTAACCAGGCCTCGAACCGAACGTGCAACCCCACCAATGGATTGCTCTCCGAACGAGGAATCCATTGGTGGGGTCACACGTTCGGTTCTAGTCCCATTTAGCGACTCTAGCTTAAACCGCGTCTGGAATTTTGGCCGCCTCCACCGGTCTTCTGGCCCACTGTGCGGCGCAGCCTCGACCCGTGTCCAGGAACCAAGCGGGGCAGTGCAGGATCAACGGGGACCTGCTGGCCATGAGACGCCATGCAGCCAAAGTTATTCATGGGACCGCGTGAAGGAACAACAAACCGGCGACTTGGGTTTCTTTTCCTTCCCGCAGCGCCGCGCCGCGCAGCGCGTTGCCGAAAGTGGGCCACCCTAGGCATGCCGCCGGCACGCCGTAGGCAACCCTAGCCAGAAGCCAGCGAAGCCGGGGACCCTGATGCTATCCATCCTGGTTTGCGCCTCCGCTGGGTTGGTCTCCGCGGATGGCCGGCGGCGTGGGGGGCCGCGGGGCAGGGATGGGGTGGCAGGGGCGGCTCCGTCCAGTTGTCCGTGTCACCCTCCCCACCCTGCCGTGCTCTGCCGTGCCCTGCCCTGCCCTGCCGCCGGGTGCGGGATGGACTACCCACATGGCATAATAATTTGGCCTATTTGTCGGTCAGGTTTAGGCGGGGGCGGGGGCGGTGCCGGCGGGTGGTGGGGGTGCGTCGCCACGCCGGGTGGAGCGGCGCGCCAACGCCGCGAACCCAACCCCAGTCAGTCCTCCGTGATCCGCCGCCGGGGGAGGCAGTGCTGCCCGCCGTGCTGCCCGCCGCTGCGCCGCCGCCTCACCACGCGAGTTGCACGTCGACGCCGCCCCCACCCCCGCGCCGCCCCGGCCCCCGTCCGGCCGCTCGCGAGTGAACGAAAACAAAAAATCCTGCGACCGACTTTTCGACTTGTGGATTGCGGGACAGCGACATGATCTCCGTGGCCGGCAAGCAGGCCGTCGGTTCGGTGTCTGCAGTGCGTGCAGTGCGTGCAGTGCTTGCAGTGCCGCAGCCCGGCGTGGACGCCCTCGAGGCCGCGTGAACGGCGTCAACGCCGTGAAGGCCGTGAAGGGCGTCAACACCCCGCCGGGCCCGCTGGAGGTCGTCCGGAGTCCTGGAGTCCCTACGCAGGCACTCTCGGTCCGTGGCCGCGGCGCGACGCGCGCGGAAAGTCAAGGTAAGCACACTGTCGGACTGCAGGCTCCGGAACTACTACATTGTTGGGGGCCGTCGCCCGTCACCACACTGGTGCACCTGGTGTCAACGCTATCCACCAGCAGCAGGCCTCGCCGCGTCGGACCGGCACGGCCCGCCGGTTGTTGTCTGTCTGCTCTCTGTCTAATGAAGGACAGAGAGGGTCTGACGTGGGCCGACGCCGGGCAGGACAGCGCCGGGTCGGGTCCGGCGGCATCCCCACCCCGTCCAGCCCACTCCCTGCACTGCACTCCGACGCTGTCGGCCCGCCCGACCCGTCCACCCCACAGTGGGCCAGAAGACCGGTGGAGGCGGACAGACGCGTTTAGAGCTCCAGAGTCGCTAAACGGGACTCGAACCGAGCGTGTGACCCCATCAATGGATTCCTCGTTCGGAGAGCAATCCATTGGTGGGGTAACACGTTCGGTTCAAGTCCTGTTTAGCGACTCTAGAGCTCAAAACGCGTCTTGAGTTTCGGCCGCCTCCACCGGTCTTCTGGCCCACTGTGCGCCCCGCCTGTCCGCCCGTCCGTCTGTCTGCCGCCCGCTTGCCTTGCCGCTTCACTGCGCTTGCCCGCCGGGGCGGCCTGGACGGCCTGGACGGCCTGGACCCGGGGGCACCAAAGGGCGGACCACACCACAGGTTGGCGGTGTGGTGCCGTGCCAGCGCCAGCACCGCCAGCATTGTGCAGTGCAGCACAGCGCAGCCACGCCGCTCCGTCTCACTCGCACTCGCGCGACGAGCCAGCCGGCCAATCAGGGCCTTCTGTTCGCGCGGGACGAACCCGAGCCCTCTCATTGGCTGCGTCTGTGCGCCGCGCGCGCTGCGTGGTCTGGAGACCTCTCGAGATGTCTCGTCAGCCTCTGGCTGCTTCTGACTGCCTCCGGCTGCCTCTGGCACCTCGCACACCGTAAACAACAACAACACCACCCACATCAGCAACAACAAAACCAGCGAGCGGCCGCGAACTTGGGATTCATGAGTCCGTACTCCGTATCGTACTGCGCACAGTGGGCCAGAAGACCGGTGGAGGTGGCCAAAACTCTAGACGCGTTTTGAGCTCCAGAGTCGCCAAACAGGTCTCGAAACGAACGTGTGACCCCACCAGAGGATTCCTCGTTCGGAGAGCAATCCATTGGTGGGGTCACACGTTCGGTTCGAGTGCCATTTAGCGACTCTGGAGCTCAAAACGCGTCTGGAGTTTTGGCCGCCTCCACCGGTCTTCTGGCCCACTGTACTGCGTCCGTGCCATATCTACTCAGTAAGCATTAAAAAGCGCACGGCTGTCCTGGCGTCGCCGCGTCGCCGTCCGTTCATTCGCTACACATGGGCCGGGCCTGGGCCGGGCCGACATTACAATGCATTATGCATCCGCCTGCGGAGCCCGGAGAGTCTCTCTCTGTCTTCGTCGCA